GGGGGGGGGGGACGAGGCGGAGCAGAAGGCGTGTGGGTGTAGGTGTTGGGTGTTAGGGAGGGGAGATTGTTTTTCATATGCATCGCTTGATCGAGTAACATGGAGGACACCTGCCTGGCCCGATTAGAGCCATAAACAACGGTCCTCTCCAACCAATCTTACTAAAAGGAGAGGGACAAGCACGCGCCCATTTCTTGCAAGCGACGTTTTCAGAAAACATACATACAACCCCAGAAAAGACCACCCGTTCTAGATAACAGCAGCCGTCCGTCCTATTGCCCAAGTGAGTGGGAGAAAGACCGGCTCCTGGAAGCCGGACAAATACTTTTCGTTTTGGCGGGTTTTCACCTTCTCCTCGGCGTGAGCATCAACAACGTAGACGATCACGTCGCACCCTCTGGTGTAGCGGCCCCACTCGCCACGGTACTGGGCCTGTCCCCCGATGTCCCAGCACTTCATTTGCACCCCGCCCCGCTTGATCATCTGATTATTTTTTTTTGGTCCGGGGGGGTCAGTTCTCGCGTTTGAAAGATGAGCGCACGCCACCTGTTGCAAGCCTAACCTTATTGGATGGGGGAAGCCATTCATCAGCCATTTCGGCGCGTAGTCAAACTTGGGCCAATATGTGCCTCTGGAGAGGACCTGGGCGAAACGTTTGGCTGAGTTTGACTGAAAATGCTCGACTGAAACGACATTGGTACCAGGAAAGCCATACAGCCGGGCGACACAACCAGGTCGGGTTGGGATGAGACGCGGCATGTGTTGACGCCAGAGGCGCACGAGGTGCGCGTATAAGCTCCTTTTTCGCGCGCGCGATTGCACCGCATCACAAGACTGAACGCCAAAATTTTTTGAGATTACTGTCGCCAACTGCGCTAAACCCATGCCACCAGATTCGCTGACCACTAACCAAAGCGATCGCCGAAATCACAACTACGAAGGGAAAGGCCCAAGACAACTGCACCTTGACGTTGAGCCCGATGGTGGGAACCGTGTCCACCGGGTGACCGCTAGCGAGAACTGGGGCGGAGCGGACAGAATAGCAGCATCGCACGAACACGCGGAGGTGTACGTGAGGCGTTGCGATTGGTCCTACGCATAGGGTATGCTTTTACCGTTTTGTCGCCGTAGACACACAGCAGACCTGTTGAAAGAACGAACTATGCAGTACGCGAGAAAGCAAGTTTAGAGGACTGTTCACGACGAAAGCAGACCGCACTGACCCTGTAACTGCTCCCTTCCACACGCAACAAAGGTAGGAAAACCGAAGTAGTTTGTGGCAACCGCCGTGCGGGACGAAGTTGCGCAATTTTTGTCCTGTCCTTTAATTGTCGGACCTGAGGATACCACTCTCCCCCCCAAAAGCCCAACATACAGCTGCGATCAGCGCACCCTTGTACCCAGTACAGCAGTACGTTGCCGGCAACGCGGCGTATGTGTCTGCAGAAAGCCGAGGAAGAAATGTAAAAAATCCGTGACCGCTACTCTAAGCCCTACGCCATTATTTGATTGTGTGCTGTCTTATGCTATCTTATGGACTTGGCTATCGGTGCTAGCACAGAGAGAGCACCGCGTGATTTCTTCCTCTCGGATGGCATACCAGTTACTTCCCCGCAACCTAGGCCAGGTGTGTGTGGAGTCTCGCCGCACTGGAACTGTGTTGCAAAAGTCTCGCCGCATTAAATGCCGAAAGGTACGGCAGTACCTTTGTCGACCTATCGGAGGGCTGGCTGCAAGCATCGGGCAAATTAAGTACACACTGATCGAAGCTTAACATCTGCCATGGTTGCATGGGCACTCTGGTGTTGTAACATAACACCACAGGCCATTACCGTACCGCTTTATGCAGCAACAGCTGAACGCCCTGTACCTGCAACAAGGGGATAATTGTAAGTTGTACTGCTGGGTCTCTTTGGCGGATGCATACCAAGCACTTGCTTCGCGCTCACCATTCATCAAGGTCGTCTTCCCGCTGTTCTCCAGACCGACCAGCACCACTTCCAGCTGTCGCGTGTAGAACGCCGAGAGCATGCGCTGGAAGGCGGCCCCCATGATTGATGATTTCGTCCCCAAACCCTCCCTGCTAGTTGCGCCCGCCGGGTGTATGTATGCCGGCTATCCGCCGTGCTCGGTATCACAGTAACGCTGTCGCCTACCCACAATTCTAAGGCAGCCCAAACAAAAGGAATTCTTTTCACAGCTGCGGTTGGGCAGAGGTTGTTGTGCCCGCTGGAACAAGATAGACGGAGAGGAAGGAGTCGAGAGAGAGAGGAGAGGAACGACGGGAACACTTGCTCCCGCGCAAGGTGCACTGCTGTTGTCGCAGCAGCCGACAGCCAACACAGCAGCCGTCGCAGAGTCACTCGTAGGAATACTTTGGTAGAGAAGACCGACTGCAGTCGCGTCGCTTGAAGGGCTATCCAATGAAGACTAAATGATACGTCGTGGGTGCTCTCGGCGCTCCGCTCTCTTGTTAGTTCCGCAAGAGAGACACAGCGCAACGCAGACGATCAATGGGGGCACGCAACTTGGACTGTCAGGTTTTGCTAAAGGTACGAGATGGCGACAACTACACGGGGGGAATCATCCTACGTGCAGGGTAGGCCAAGCGCACCGCCCGTGCTGGTCGTTTCCGACTGGCATACTGTGCCATGTGCATGCCGTTTGCGCGCGTGTGTGTGCAAGAAAGCGGCCCGTCGATTGAAGAATGATCTTGGTCCGGTTGATGCTGGCGCTTGCCGCCCAGGTCGTAGCGGTAGCGGGACAGAAGAGCGGTGCATCTGAGCGCCTCCGAGCGCGTTCTTCATCAGCATCTGCGCTGCGGTTATTGTTGACACCGCCTGGCTCTTCCGGCAGAAGCTCAGATGCCTTGTTCTGCTGCCCGACGACCCTTACTCCTTTCTTGGCCGTGAGGCGAAGAAAACCTCGCCGGGCGGCTTGCGCAGCCAGAGAGATCGGTAATGATGCACCATCACAGGCCGTTCAGTCGTACTACAAGCGGAGGCGGGAGGCCATGGGCGCGTGGACGGAGGAGAGGCGAGGCAGGGACCTGTGCGAGCGGTGTCGGAGGGCTCGAGAGGTCAGCAACCGCTATTTGTGTGCAGCTCTAGGCGTTCCTTCGGTCTACCACTGCTGTTTCTCCACTGGAGGTGTGCTGCGGCAACCTAAGCTCCTACTCTGCAATTACGTAGTTGCGCCCGTGTGACGGCTGCTCCCGAGAGCAAAAGTTCAGTCCCGTCGACTGCATACTTCCTTGATGGCAATCGAGCACCAGTTTTCGCCTCATTGTTCTCCAGTAGCCATGCATCGTTGCCTTTGAGCATGGTAGTGTTCTACACAGAGTGCGGGCCCGCTCGCAAGAACATGTCCTCAATACATCGAAGCTCAGATTCACGAAAGAAATAGGAGTAACGGCGCAAGACCCTGGTGTGGTAGCATAGCACTAGCCCGTCCTCAAGCCATCGAGAAAATGGAAGGCTTTGAGCCTAACTCACAATAGGTATTGCTCAAGAGCGGGCCAGCACTGCTGAAAGTGTTTTGGACAACCCCCGGGTCCAAGTCTTGTTGCCGTTGGATTGCTCTTGTCGGCTTGCTCGATGCTGTTCCCGGCACGTTCATCCTACAGTTGGCCTACAGTAGTCGCTGTAGTGGCGTGTCCAGAGGTGACCAATTCCTTTGTCTGCACTCCAACTCTGCCCGCATCACTCTTTTCCCTCTGCCTGTTTGTCGACCGTGACAGATGTGCCTGTGCTCTTCCTTGCCGGCTGAAGCTATGCCAACGTCTACTCGGTTCGTAATATTGCAGCATCCAGCGGAAACTAAGAAGTGAGTCCGTCGCGGTCTAGCGTTGTTGTTGATCCCAGCACTCGGAGAACGCGTACCACGCCACCACCCCGCACAGCTCATCAGGCAGGAGAAAAGGGGGTTGTAAATACGCCACCTAGTGCCTTCAGTGTACACTAGCCAATGTCGCCCTTCACAGCACGTTTCTCCTGGTGCACCGTTTATCTTCGAAAAACGATTCCCGAGGGAGGCTCGCACTTTCAACAGGCGCTGAAGGACCGTGTCATACTCGGCGATTTTTCTTCAAATCTCCCAATTTTCGAAGTCCGTTGACCGTTGAACCTCAAATTTGCGGCCGAGGAAAAACTTTGGAAATTTTAAAGATTTGGAAGCAAAACGCTGTGCACAAAACGCGGCCCTAAACCAACGTTTTTGTCTTTTTTTCCCTTTTCTTCGTCAGGCGTGTCACCGGGACCGTTCCTCTGATCCTCCACTGCCTCGCCGACTGCACCCGCGTGGTCATGCGGTACGACTACAGCGAGGAAGACGTCAGAAAAGCCCTCGGCGTCGAGTTGGCAATAGACCGCTCTCCGGAACGCGTCTCGGAAAGGTCCTCGAGGCGGGAAAACAGCGCCAGCACAGGCACTCCACTTCTGCTCTTCCCCTGCCCGGGCGCAGAATACCTTGAGGTGAAGTGGTGGCAGACGTTAACATTTGGCCGTGATTGTTCTAATTTCCGCTGTGACGAGCGAATGGTGCGTCGTTGTCGTTTTCCGGAAAATAGGGTGTTCTGTTTCGTTATATCCCCTTGGGAACATTTTCGTTTTGTCTCAGGACAGCATGCGGGGCGGGTGGGTGAGTGGAAACCGTGCATCTTGCGCCGAGCGTCCGGCGTCTTGTCACTTTCGTTCCACAGCGAAACCTGTCCACGAGATACAGCAGGAGAGGCGGACAGAAAAACGAGAGCGTGCCCAATCGACAACGTTGGGAAGCAGCGCACATCCTCCCTCGAACAACGTTTCTCGAGCACGCGGAAGTGTTGCCATGCTCGTGTCGCATTGCCGAGTTGTGGGTGGGACTGTCATTTTATCTCGTGCCCAATTTTTTTTCTAATACGTAGCGGCTACGGTTTAACATAATGTGTTTAACAGTGAGTCCGGGGTTAACAGAGGTGAATCGGCTTGGCACGACCAAAATCGGTTAAACAGAAAATTTGTCTTATTTCTGAGATTTTGTGTTAAATCGAGCTTTTGGAGGTCTCGCCACGTTAATGAGTGGTTCGTCCAGTGGGTGATTGGGTAGATTTTCTCTTGGATGCTTGAGCATCCATGGGCTCGTGTTGTAGTTCCACAAGAGCTGCGAGTAGCAGCACAACTAGGACAAGGCAACGACACTACAGAGGTCTGACGCGTGATTTGTTTCCCAACACTTTCTACTAAGAGCGTGATCCAACACTTTCTACCAAGAGCGTACATGTGGTCCATATTGCTTGCCAACCAACAGATAAAGCGGTGTGCGGAGCTAGCCCAACGGGTGGGTGCTGCCTGCGTTATGTGACATGAATGACATGCTCTCCATCAACTCTCACGGCACATACTGCTGTTGTTGGGACGACTGGGTCCATGTGTCACGGCCTTTCGTTTTGGCTACAGTTTAACATTTTGTCATGTTTAACCGTAGCCAAAACGGTTTAACAGAAGTGCCGATGTAAGAGATGGATTTTGGCTTGTCACGACCCTATGTTAAACAGTAGCCGCTACTGTACTACCTGTGCCCACAGAAAGTCGTCGTCGTTAGTGCTGTGGAGCAACCGGGTATTGTTGTAGATGTTTCGCTTCTGGTTCACGCTAACAGGGGCAACAGGAAGAGCACATCCCAACAATACTCATCGCCCTCGTTCGAAACGCCTGGAATTGCAAAAAGGTGCGTATCAGTGGTTCCACCTAGTCGCACATATCAATATTTCCACCTCTCTCTTCATGGCACACGGTGGGCAGGACATCGCCGCTTCCCGAGATCAATCTGCCCCGTCGGCACAGCCCTTCCCACCAACACCAGCGGCAGCCGCAGCAGCGGCAGAACTAGCAACAGGAGCAGGGGGAGGAGAGGTGGTGGTGCTCATCGACGGCACCTGGTCGCAGGCGAAGCAGATCTTGTCCAGGTATCCTTCCCTCCTCCGCCCGAGAATGGCAACCACGCCCGCCCAACAAAAGACTAGGGAATTGGGTGCCTCCGCTGGTGGCGTTCCCGTCGCCACCGTTGGGGGTTCAGGAGAGGCCGAAGGCGGTGGTGGTAGTGATGAGAGATGGGACGGGAGTGAGCAAGGGTCGGGGGGGAGGGAGGCGGAGCCAACTGAGGACGGAGCGTTGTGCAGGGCGGTGAAGTTTCGGTGCGCGGGAGTCAGCGGCTACGGCTTCAGGCGGGAGCCGGCGAAAGAATGCCTGTCCACCTTGGAAAGCGTTGCTTACACGCTGGAGGTATGTTTTTCTGGGCGGCGTCACGAAGCAATGCCCGACCGTAGTTCTCACGTGTCTCTTCCTTTTGATCCAGTCAGCGAACCAGCGCTCATCAACTGGCCCGAGGAAACGCTTCGGTCCCAACGCGTACGCGAAAAGGCTTGCTCTTGTCTTGTGCTTGCGCCTCGTCCCTAGCCCGGCGCTGCTGGTGCGCTTAAGCCTGAGAAGTGAATGAGGTGCATGCGCTCCACCGATTGGCGTATCACCGATTGAGATGTTGCTTTTCTCAGACGTCTCACCAGCTGAGGCGTACTCCCCCTGTCTCCCGCCAGCACACCGGGGTAAGAAAGGAATAGGCCCGATAAATTCAACGGCTGAACTTGTAGCTCCTCGCGCATTGTGATGACGGCTGTAGCTTCATTAGCACACAGCTGCACTTTCTCTCTAGCTGAACGCTTTTTTTGTCACTGATTTTGGAACAAATGCATCGTCCACGTTGTCCTGAGGGGGACTCCGTACATGCTTGGGATGATGCGCATCGCTCTGGAGAGTTACGACCACGTTTCATTCCTACAGCATGGCCTTCTGCTGCAAAGCTAGCGAATTAGTTTCTCATCCCTCCTCACCGTCGTCGAGGAGGACGGGGGCGTGCGATATTGTCCGCACACCAACCGCACCCAACCAAAGTGGAAAAGTTGAAACCTATGGAGGCTCCTGATATGTTAAACTACCCGCGCATATTTGGTTTGTGCAAACTGAGTTGGAGCAAATTAATGGGTGCAATGTTCCATCGATTCCACGGGCGCGCGCGACGTGCAGGTACTGGAGGGGACCCCGCAAGGGCTGGCGGCAGCGGCCTTCCTCCGCAAGGCGTTCAAGACGATGGTATCGATGCAGCTATCTCGGGCCGACGCGGGGGGTCGCCGGCCCCGATTTGTGAACCGAAAGGAGAGAACGACGAATCGGAGGTCGACACCCAAGAAGGGAATTCTTTGAGACTCGGGCCTGCTTGCTCCCCGGCCTCCTGTAGAAGCTGCTTCTACTGTAGCCTGTTGAAGTCTTCGTGTTATTCCTTTGGGATGTGCTATTCTCGCCGCTTCAAATACGAGCTGTGTTGCTCGGAATGGGTGGGATGTGAACTCTGTACGATGTATGTACACCTTGGCCAAGGATGGGGGCGACCCGAGAAAAATATATCTCAACAGCTACTCACTGTTGGAATGTTGGAGGCACACCATCCTCTATCTGGTATTCTCGAAGTGTATTGGAAAAGGTGTAGACCCAACCAGGTCTCACAAACGAGGGATGGGTGCTGTAAAGTAGGCGTGAGTGGTCACAGACAGGAAAGTCAGGCAGACGGCGGACAAACAAACCGTTCGGGGCATGTCTGATGTATGAAATTAGAATGACAGAGGAGAAATGAACTTGCAGGTGCAGACGTAGGTAGTAGGATAATCTATCTCACTTCGGAAACCTGGTTGGAAAACCGGATGAGGGCCGGAGATCTGTGCCGCGGGGCACAGCCAACCCCATCGGCAACATTTTCGCTCGGCACAAGCACTTTCTTGCACCTGTTTGTTCACCATGAGCCATGACATATTGGAGGCAGGCGAGCAGATGGAGCGCTGACGGGAAAGGGCTGCCCACAGTCTACGCTATACCACGCGGGCGTAACTTTGCCACAAGGGATGTGTTCCAAAATACCCCGTGGCACCTATTGTCGAGATTCACTCATCGATTCATTTGACCTATAACCCTGGCCCACCTGGACGAAACCCAAAGCATAGTGGGTAGTCAAAAGGAGTTTCTAGCGACGAACAATGAAGTACCTGCCAGACCCATGTGGAAAGGTAGTGTCACGGAAAGCCAGTAGACCATTCTAAGGGCAAACAAAGAAGGCCCGACAGGAACTACGCGAGGGACATATCACTGCAACAGCTACGCAAACGCGCCGTACAACAAATTCACAAAGAGAGGAATGAGAGAACCTCCACAAAAGGTACAGTACACACCAGCAGCATCAACCCCAGTCGGATATCACTTTGTCAGTGCAATCCATGCAGCAACTGCACGGTCCCAAGACAACCACCTCGAAGAAATCGAAGTCAATCGTCGCAGTCAAGGGCAAATCGTTTGAGTGTCCCTCGGCAGTATTCCGCACATGTCCTGGGGACTTGAAGGTGTGCCAGCGTACCTGTTTATAGTGCACAACACACCGACGAATACCGTAGATTATTTTGTACGTACAGGTATGTTGTGTGGAGCAAAACACCGGGTCCAACAAAGCCCCCGTGTAAATGTAACTCCGGAATGAAACCTGCCCTACCGGACAGGTACAAAGCGAAGTTGCGTATATCTACCGATGCCTGTGTTCTAGTCTACGTGCCTGAAAAACAGAGTCAGAAACCAGCAGCTATTGTACCTAGATCAACATTTGGCCTACGCTCTACCGGTTCCAAACGTGGAGCAGCATGCACCCATCGTCAACCACACCTGATTGGCGACCAGCCCACACTCACCGGTGAATACGTCAATCGCTACGTATAGAACACGGTCGGCGTGAGAGCAATTGGCTTTGTCATACTTGATCACCGGCGTGCCCTTTCTACCCTCCTTTTGCTACCGGATGAAAAGGGAATGATGTAGCGGGGGTAGTCTCTAACCATGGGAACGGATGTACAAACGCACAGAGAGCAAGCGCATAGTCTAGACATGGCGGGGTCTTCTCAGATTACTCCGCGTTGTCACAGGTGCCGACAAGGTTGTCAAGCTCCGCCGTGGGGTACACTTCCTCGTAGCGGGTGCGGAGGTCGCTCGGTTTGCAAGCCGTGAACTTGTCCGGGTCGGTATCGTACATGGTGCAGTCGGCCACGGAAACCACCGGCATCTCTTCGATGCAGCCGCACATGGGCGCACCCTTCGATGCTGGGTACACGAGAGAAGCGAAACGTGTAACGTTGGGGTAGAGGGAGGGGGGAATATCTCGATACTCGTCTGCAGTCCCCATGTGGCGTCACCTGGTGACCTTGGAACGGGTCAAAGAAACACGCCACGGCGGCAATTCTTTCGGCACAACGTTAGGAATCGCGTGCCTTGTTTGATTCTTGGTAGGGGTGAGAAACACACGAAGATGGAGAGAGATCTACCGTTTTCGAGATGGTGTACATGTACAGTAGTCAGCATACAACAGATTAAAGGAATGCATTCTCAGGACTCCGGACCAATGGTGGATCAACGACTCGGTGTGTGAGTATAGTGTTCTGTATCAATCTCATTAACCACAACCCATCGATGGTATGACGCTACTCATACTGTTCGAATCGGGCTTAGTCTACAATATGTAGGAAAGAAGAATAACTTTCAATTTTGGGTAGGGCTGGGATTGAGAGACGGACGACATGTGCGTGAAACAGTTGTATTTCGTGAGCCCCAAGGAAAAAGCAGTATCTACATGATGTAAAGCCCTGTGCCTATGCAGTGAGTTCCAACGCCACCTTCTAGTGCTAACGCTCGGTGGTTAGTCTATGCGTCAATCCTTGAGTCTCAGGTGCCAACCGGAGGAACACCGCGAGACTTCCACTTTCTTGTTCTGCTCGAGTGAGCAGTAGGAGCAACCCAACAACCAATTCACCCACACTTCCTGCGAGAATGAAGACGTCGTTCGGGTAGGAAGGGATGACGAGAGAAGTGTGAGAAGAGGGCAGGTGTGAGAGGTGCTAGAGGAAGCAATGGGCGGTGGAACGGATACGAAAGTGTTCGCAGATTGTAGTCTCCATGCATATTGTTCGATAAAGCTACACCATTAGCCTAGTCAGTAGTCAATGGTGTAGCTTTATCGAATAAAAGATATGCTCAGAGCTCATTTGCACCCGGCTGGATCACTTGGGTCTGTATGGCTTGGATCTCCGGGGACGGACCCCTCGCCAGGCGCTGCAGGAAAAGAACTAAGGGTGCTTGTGAAAGTGGCCATCTGGGATTCGAACCCGTGCGTGTACCACTTTGTTAGTAAAGGCTTACCCCATTAGACTACAAAGTCAGCCCAAAGTCTGGTGTAGAAGTGCTGTAACCATTGTTGTTGCACATACATACGCGAGCGCGTTGCACGGCTGATTTTTTCGGCATCTCTCACCTCTACCTCCAGTACCAGCAGAGTATCTTTTAGTTCGTCGACGCAAATGAGGACACAGGCTTCCCTCGTTAGGGGGGAAGGCCCAGGTCGCAGTAGTCTTTTCCCACTACTAAGGGCTGGCAGTTCTCTTCGTCGAGATTTAGAGAGGAGAGGGTCTCAGAAGAGAGATACAAGAAAGAGAGTGCCGCCGACGGGGTGAGGGAGACCAAGCCCGAGGGTCTCGGATTCCCAAGCTCCACAGGTGGCGCCAAGAGGGACGCATCCACAGTCGGGTCTCTTGCTGATCAACCATCAGTAAGATCCTCCGTTCGGATCGTATCTTGGTCCTACTTTTGTATGTGCAACAACAATGGTTACAGCACTTCTACACCTGTCATCCACACATATCTTTTATTCGAAAAAGCTACACCATTAGACTAGTCAGCGCTGACTAGGCTAATGGTGTAGCTTTATCGAATAGCTTCTTTATTCAGCAAGTGGAAAAATGACCGTTGGAAGTAATCCCTGGCCAACGTTTCGACAATTTTCACCGGCGTCGCCCGGTCCCTTTCATTATGCACTGGGCAAGGAAACCTTCAGTCGTTACTGCGCACGTGTACAGTATCGCTTGCTTTCGTGTCGCTCACGCTCATGCTTCTCCCCTGGCCTGGCCTTGCTGGGGTGTTAAGCCCCAATCCCTGAGAGAGATTCGCCAATTGGTCACCGAATGAGTGAGTGAGATGTTGCAATTCTCAGAAGATCTCCGCATTTCCAGTATGTATGTATTTGTATTCAATCCCCTGCCTGGCTCCCACCAGCAGAACTGACCCAAGGCGGGCCCACTCCCCTCTTTCCCACCAGTCCGACGGGGGTGACAATGGAAGAATCCCGTGAATTGAAGTGTTCATCGAGGTCAATGGTTGATAGGTTGTGTCTTGTCACGAGTTTTTGACGGCGGCAATTAGTTCGAAGTAAGAACGTCTGGATACACAACTGCGAAACCATGCCTCTTCCTTCTCCGCGAAAATATTACCGGTGTGTGTCACTTTTTTTTGGTATTTTTAAGCAAGGAACAAGCCCATCGTTAAGCCCATCGTCGACATTGCACTGCGAGGGACTTCGAACATAGTGTTTTTGGGGAAACGTATCTCACTGGAGTATACGACTGCGTTTCATTCCTACGGCGTGGAGACGTGTTGCGAAGCCAGCGAATCAGTTCTTATTCTCACCGCCATCGTCATCGAGAAGGATGAATGCGAGTGGTATTGTGGTATTACTCATCACACATACCAGGTGAACTCAACCTACGAAGGTATGATGTTGAAGTCGGCAAAGGAAATGCTTCTGATTGATTTGTGAACCGAAAGGACAGCATGGCGAATCGGAGGTCGACACCCAACAAAGGAATACTTGGTATTCATGATCCTTTTTTGAGTTTCGGCCTCCGGCCTCCTGTGTATAGTCATCAAGTCTGCGTGTCTTCCTATTTTTTGAAACGCGTAGACTTGATAGCTATACAGGAGGAGGCCGGGGGGCAGGCCGATACTCCAAAAGGGATCATGATGCCCTAGTCTCAAACAATTATCAATGATTCCCTTGTTGAGTGTCGCCCTCCAATTCATCATCCAGTCCTTTCGATTCACAAATCAATCAGAAGCTTCTCCTTTGCCGACTTTAACATTGTACCTACGTCGGTTGGATGTAACTTGTATGTGTGCAGCACCACACGCATTCATCCTTCAACGACGATGCCCGTGATAATTCAAGGATAATTTATTCGCTGGCTCCTTAACAGGCAGGCACACATGCTGCAGGAATATAACGCAGTCGCACACCAGTGCGATGCGTGTCCCCAAATATACTTGTTCCAGATTTAAAGAAAACAGTGACACACCAGTAGCTATACCGTTGGGGTAAGAAGAGGAGAGGTTTCGCAGTTGTGAGACCAAAAACTTATGCTTATTCTTCGCAACAAAAGTCGTCGTAACAAACTCGTTGTTGACCTCCAATTCATTGAATGCTTCCATTGTCACCCCCATTGGACTAGTGAGAAAGAGGGGAGTGAGCCCGTTCTGACTCAGTGCTACTGGTGGGAGGCGGGTCGGGGGGGGGAGTGAGTAAGGAGATGTGGAGATGTCTGAGAAAAGCAACATCTCATTCATTCGGCAACCAATCGGCGAACCGGACAATCTCTCTCAGGGACTGGGGTTTTAAACACCAGCAAGGCCATGCCAGGGACGAAGCGCGAGCAGGAGCGGCACGAAAGAAG